GCTCACCCTCCCACCGGGTCTCATTTAGTCTCTGTTGCTGAAAACAAATGTTTTTCAGTGTCCCCTGTGGCCTGCATAACAAACAGCAGCCTAAACCAAAGTCCGTCTGCAGGCATTTTTACACTCAGCATTTAGAATATCTGTGTTTGTAGGCAATTTTTAGATCGCATGAAGGTTTGTGTTAATGTTCATTTGCAAAGTGAAGGTGATGCTGAAGTATGTGGCAAGTCTTAGGAGTTTTGTTATCAACACTGGTGCCTTATTTGTTGAACACTTAGCTCATAATGTAAAGGAATACATATTTTACAGAAACTACACTCGCATTAGTTTAAGTTTTATCCATCCACCATTTTCTGTACACCCTTGTCCCTTAATGGGATCAGGAGGGTTGCTGGTGCCTATCTCCAGTTAACAGTTTAGGTTTTATGTTCGTCCATTATTCTTTAGGACACAATCACACCAGTCTTGTTTAGTCTGCTTTAACCAAACTCTGGTTCGTTTGTCTAGAAAGTTCAATTTGTTTGGGGAAATGTGAAAAAAAGATAACTCTGGTCTGGCTAAAAACCAAAGTCTCTCTTTGGTTGAAGTGAATTCTAGTGCAGTTCGAATGTATATGTGAACATCTAGTATATCAGAGGCCGCTCCAACAGCAGGAAGTGGACTATAGCAGAGGGCATTCTGGGAAAATACAATGCGTGGTTCAGCCATTTCTCCCGCTAGTGCCAGCGGGAGAAATGGCTAGTGGTCTTTCACCAAAACTGCTAAAATCTGACGCTACTCCATTTTTGATTACATTACAAGTTGCGCTCATGTCTTCTTCAAAGGTTTTTGTGTCGTTTCCTTCAGTAGTTCGTGTTGCAGCACCACCACAGGTGAGGAGGGGAACAGTTTTTTCAAAGGTTTTGCCATTTGAAAGCAAACCACACCAACTGAGAATGTAGCAAATATTGTAATTATGGTCCCGAATTGAATCAAGTCCGTCAGACTATCAGGTGTGGGAACACCCTTAATCTCCTTAATGGTTTGGCCACATTCATGTTAAGGCTTGACCCTCATATGGATTTCTCTGGTGTTTTTATGTCCCATTTGAATGTTACAGATTATCAAACAAACAATAATATCAGACAAAGATAATATGAGTAAATACAAAATGCTTATTTTTATTAAGAACAACAATATTTCTAAAGTAACCTGGTCCTACTGCATGTGAAAATGTAACAGCCCCCTACATCTAAGAACCTTTGACAGCAACAACTCCAATCCACAGTCATAAAGTCCTGGTCATGTTCACCTCTGTTCCCTGTTCTCTCCCTTTGTGGATAAAGGCTCTCACTGTGGTTCCCAGACGTCCCAAAGCCTTAGAAATCACTTCGTAACTCTTTCCCGTTGTCAATGTTTATGTTTCTTATCTTGTCTTGAGTCCTGGATGTGTTGTTTTTTTTTTTTTGGCATGTTTTAGCTGACTTCCTGTTGTCAGACAACAGGTTTCTTAATTCTAGAGGTAAACAGGTAACCTGTAAAATTAAACTCAAAATAGCGTGGTTCATGTAGATAATTCCAGTTAAAAGATGAAAGTCTAATTTGTAAACTGCATTTTGTATTTACTCAAACTATGTTTGATGGTAATAAAAAAATGTTTGTTAATCAGCAGTAGTAAATTTGAACTAAAAAAGAAAAGCGGCAGACATCTGCAGGGCGTAAGGCTGTTTTCATTGCCCTGTGTTAACAAGGGCCTAATGTTTCTTTTACTAATAATAATAATACAGAATAAGTTAAGGATATTCTAAAATAAGGGAACATCGATGTTCGTCCCTGCAGCGACTGAGAATACACCATTATTAACAGTGGGGCCGTTGCCTCTTTTGACCCAGCTAAAAGGCCTAATTTTAGTGTTTAGCTGTCCTACTTGTGTGACTGCAAGAAGAGCATTGTTGGACTTCCCATTGCGGATCTTCGTCCCAGGTTCTCGCTCCATGTTTTGCCAAGCTTCATCACTGGTCTGTTTCTGCTTTTTACAGGACTCTGGGTACACTTTTGTAATATATTTGGAAAATATAAAACTGGAAATTTTAGTATAAAAAATTCCGTTGATGCATTTCAGATGATTGTTTCCCTTAATTAACCCCAACATAGAGCAGTTTTAATAATAACCACATGGAGTTAGACACTGTCTGAAGTTTCTTCTTTATACAGCATTTTATGCCAAAATCAGATGAGTTTGCCAGGGCAGAACAAAAACACAGGAAGCAGAAACAATGGGGAGCTAACCCCAGTCTCACTCCTTGCTGGAGGAACCAGCAAGGAAAGCAGAAGAAGTGTTTAAATTCTGCAAGGCTGAATGCTGGAACAAAAGACAGGGGCTGATGAACTAACAGGATGCAGGTGTGAGGGGAGCCAGCAGAAATCAGCCCAAGAAGAGAGAGAGAGAGAGAGAGAGAGAGAGAGAGAGAGAGAGAGGCAGCAGGGGGCGAGCTAATGAGGAAACTAAGAAAAAGAGTCTAGGAGACACAAGGAAGAAATAAACATGATAAATTGATCACTAGGAATAATCATGACATAATCAAAACCTCAAAACAACTGCTATAAAATAAAATAAACTTGACTCATCTAGAGACTGAATTATTCATCCCACAAAATACCTACAAACACAGATTATCAAGTGTTTTTCTACGTTTTCCTAGGATTGTTGGGATATTCTGTAGTTTAATCTAAACCATTCCACTGTCGCTCTGGCAGTGTGTTTAACCTATTCCCAGCCTTGTACAGATTTTCTTCCATTATTTCTCTGTTTCACACCATCCACTTTTTTTTCAACTGATGAAAAGCATCATAAAGCCTGACAAATGCTGCCATGCTCCACGGTGGGATGGTGTCTTCAGGGTGTCTCATCTGATCTGACCAGTGCACCTTGTAGCATCTGCATACGATGACAGCGCTTATCCTGAAATTTATTCAGGGATTTCAGAATAGACAAGACTGGACAGAGATGAAGGGAATTGTGTGGAGAATAATTTCAAAACACACCCAAGTTAATGAAGTTAGAAAATTCCAACTTTTGTACCTTGTGTATTAGGGGTGTAAAAAGTGTTTTCCCCCATCCTGATTTTTTTTTTAAACATATTTATCACATTTAAGTGTTAACTATCACACAAGTAAGCTAAGAGTGCATTTTTTAAATGAAACTGTTTGGTATCAAGGGAGGAAAAAAATTGCAGCCCTACATACGTCCCTGTGAGAAAAAAGTGAATTTTCGGTGGTGACTAACCCACCGAGGCCTGGAATGTATCGGACCAGATCAGTGAAGAGAAATGTTGGAGGTTCTGCTTCGGAGAAGCTAAGGTATCGTTATAGGAAAGCTGCTGAAGTGGGATCTGAAGATCTTAAGCTGTTTAAAATAGCCACAACCCAGACGTGAAAGGAGTGTGTTGGTAGAACTTCTTTGCCGTAGCGTAAGAGCTGTTGTGCAACGCTGATTCATCAACCCACATATGCAGAACGGCATTCTGCCTTTACAGAAGCCGTGAGGGAGTCAGGAGGGGGGGAAGAGTATCTCTAAACAAGGAGGAAAAACAACCGAATAACCCCATCAGCATGAAACGGGTTTTGAGAAAATACGGTGGATCCACTGCACAGCCATCATCTAGTCTGACAGATGAAAACGCCCGCTGTGTGGTTTAATAAAACAAATGAATCCCAGACAGTAAACAGGGACAAGCTTTCAACACACTGGAAGAGACACTTATTGTACACAGGCTGAATTATTTATAGGACTTTATCTGGATCATATTACATTCTCAGATCGCGGAGTGTAATTCATTCAGCTCAAAACGAGCTGGAAGTTCGTCAGTCCTCCCTGGAGAGAACGCGCTTTTTACGCCCGGGTCGTTTCGTCCCGACACACTGCTTCGGTGGGAGATTTTTGCCCGCTTTTGCAACACTTCATCCTGTAAATGTGCCACTTCAGCGAGCATTTTTGTGTTTTTATTTATTTCCCAAGACCTGCTTATTTATTTAACAGAGCATTAGTCAGCAGAACAAAACCAAGAGAGCTTGTAAAGAGCTCCATTAAGAGCCAGGAGAAGCTATTGTGTTTGATGGATCAACTTATGGGAGGTTGCTGCAAATGAAAGCTTAATGAATGATTCTTGCCTCTGCAGGTATGGCTGGTAGTAATTAATAATAGCTATCAATATAAAAAGAAAACATTATTTATCAGCTTCAAACTGAATTTCAAACTGAACTGATTGAAGCTGATCAATCAGCTGATCATCAGTTTCCCCCAGAAAACTTGTTAAGCCTGGTGGGGCGGTCGTCCACCCTCCTAATAGAGAAATGTCTGTTTTTGAGGTAAAAATGTTTAAAGTTGACAGGAAACTTGGAAATATGACCAGGTAGTTATGTGTTACTGGAAGACATTTTTAGCAATACCTAAACACCAACTGCAAAGTTTAAAAAAAAAAAAAACACGCAAACATTAAAAAAAAAATACAATTAAAATAAATATAAATTTTTTGCACTTCAGTTGTTTCATCCTTATTACAGTGACCAAAATTTGTTGATCCTTTATCTGTGATTTGTCAGTTTATTTACTGTAGCTGTTGGCATGTAGACCAGTAAAGACAGGCAGTGGCTATGGAGTTAGTGGTGTATAAAAAGGTGTAATAAATAAATGATTCTCAGCCTGGTGGGGGCGCAGTTAAACCCTGGTGGCCCGCCAGGCTTATAAAACACCGAGGGAAACTCTGATTTCTTATTGTGTTGGTTCTGAAAATGTGATTGCTCCTGGCAGATTGTACTTATTCTCATAAATATCACTTTTGTTTCCTGTGAAAAAAAGCTGCAAACATGACATGGTGAATTTCTGTGATTCATCTCAAAATTTCTGATTTTTTTTTCTAGCAAATTTACTCCTCTTTTTTTTTTTTTTTTTGTCTACAATGGCCCCTGTACGCCATCGTGCTGTCTTAAGGTACATGACTGCATTCTTTTATTTTCCACAGGACTACACGCTGACCATGTACTTCCAGCAGTACTGGAGGGATAAGAGGCTGGCCTACGTGGGGATTCCCCTCAACCTGACGCTGGATAACAGAGTAGCAGACCAGCTCTGGGTCCCAGACACATACTTCCTCAACGATAAGAAATCCTTTGTGCACGGGGTCACGGTTAAGAACCGAATGATTCGACTCCACCCGGATGGAACCGTCCTCTACGGACTCAGGTGAGAACTGTTCTTTCTGTGAGAATGCACGTCTAATATTATTTAAAGTTAGCAGTTTTGACATGTTTATTCAGGATAGGATTCGTGATTAGCTTCTCTGTCAGTTGTTAAAGGTTTAATGGAGAAACTCTGTTTTGATCATGTGCTGAAGGCAGAGTTTTGGAAAGAGCAGGAGCTTCTTAAAGAGACAGAGGCCTAATTTTAAGGCATTAATTTTCTAAGTCCAGTTTGTCATTGCACTTTTACAATAGCTTAAGGTAACATAGTTTCTTGATTGCACTATAAAATGGTATAGAAAATACATGACACTTCCTTTTTAAAACGATATCAATTAAGACATATTTCCATTGCTACATATTTTTCTCTACGTCTGGGCAATAAATTGATATCATTAATAAACTGAAAATTTGGTTCTTTGAAGGTTTAATTTTTGGAAAATCAGGATTTTTTCACCAATGTGCTTTTTGTGTTTCCATAGTTCTGAATAATGTCAGTGCATGTAAGGCCTGTCATTTTGTTTGATGACCATGTTTTCCTAATTTAGGCTGTAATTTTTTTTTCCAAGTATGAGAATAAAGTCATAATATTAGTAGAATAAAGTTGTACATTTATGACAACTCCAACACAAAGAGAGTTATACAAATTAAACTTTGGTATGAGTTTTACAGATAAGGAAACACTTAACTCTGTGGAAGCATTTTTGTCATTAAAAGCAACTTTTTTTCTCTTAATTTTAAGACATTCTAGTAAAATTGTGTCTTTATCCTTCCAATATTATGACTATATTCACTATAGTCCGGCCCTTCTACTCTGTTGTTCAACTTACACAAGGAATGACTGAAATAAAAGCCACTTTTGAAAATATTTTCTATAATTTGTCATTTTTTTTATTTTTCATTTTTTTGAAAAGAAAGCAAGAAAAAACTCTATTAAAATAGTAATTTGGATCTGGAATAAAAAAATGTTATTTTTAAGCCATATGTTTCACTGTTCTGACTTATTTTGGTGCAAACCCAGAACATGTCGGGCCGCACCCCACTCCATTCTAATTTTGCTGTGACTCGAGGTCGGATTTTCCTAATCACTTCCCCACTTTTCTGTTTTTGTGTCAGAATCACGACGACGGCGGCCTGCATGATGGACCTGCGGCGATACCCGTTGGACGAACAGAACTGCACTCTGGAAATCGAAAGTTGTACGTCTCAAGCCTCTTTTGCTTAGTAGAAGAAACAGGGACAGATGCCCTCACTTTCCCATCACTTAAAATTATGAAGAGCGCAGCGAGCCTCATAAAGAAGACTCTTACACTCATCGTCTTGCGGGGGGGGAGGGGGGGGGGGAAACTGCACAGGCAGCTGAATTGCTCTGGATTTATGAACCTGTCATATCTGGGCGATATTACTGGCCGCAGCCTCTCTAGCTAAACTTTGTCCATGCAGACTGGTTTTAGCATTAGCAAGCTCTGCTATCTGAGGCCGCCATCTGAGCGGCCATGAAAGTATTGACAGCTATAGATCACATGCAGCCATTTTCATCTCAGTCAATCAAGAAATCACTGATTGACGGACAAAGTGAACAGATTCACTTTGTCCGTCCATCTCATGAGAATCACACCTTGTTCCTGGTTTTCCCTCGCAGACGGGTACACCACAGACGACATAGAGTTCTACTGGAAAGGGGGAGACACGGCCGTTACCGGGGTGACCCGGATCGAGCTTCCTCAGTTCTCTATAGTCGACTACAAGCTCGTCTCCAGGAACGTGGTCTTCTCCACTGGTAGGTGGAAGGGAGTCGGGACAACGGTGGTCAAAGGTCGCAGATCAGATCTTACATTACGTCTCTGCCAGAGGCGAGTAGAGAACCCAAAAATTGTCCTCAAGTAAGAGTAGCACTTCAACAAATTTCTACTCAAGTAAGGGTAAAAAGGAGGAAATTTTACTCAAGTAAGAGTAGCACTGCGTAGTAATACTCCTAAAGCTAAATGTAACTAGTTAGTACCCAACTCTGGCGTCTGCGTGTAGCTTGAAGGATTAGAGACAGCATACAGAGGCTGCGTGTGTCCCTGTTTGTCTTGATGAATAATAGAGTATAATATAATCACACTGCTTTTACCTTAAGCAATAAATTATTTTCTCTTTCTCTTATTAGAAGGAAAGGAGAGCTTGTTCTGCACAGTTAATTAGAATGTATTATGTGCAGAGGGCTATAAAATCGTGCTAGCTCTGTTATGTTTACAGATGCATCTCAATAAATTAAAATATCATCAAAAAGTTTATTTAGCAACACAGGGAAACTTTATTGTGCTATATAGATTCATTACACATGGAGCAATTTATTTCTGTTCATTTTGGTGGTCATGGCTTACAGAACATTAGGTTTTCACCCAAAATCTGTGTTTAATAAATCCATATTGTATATGTTTTCCTGTTTGAGCTGATTTACTCGTATGAATAAACTTTTTTTAATGATGTTCTTACCTGTGTAAAACACCACCCAGCTTTCAAACGCTCCTTATTTGGTCAAATCTCCTTCTTTTTTTTTAAATCAGAGTATTCCAGAACTTTGACACCAATCCTCAAATCAAACCAAAGTGACTGGCGAATCAAAGTCAGCTGCTTCCTCTTCTGCCTTGTCTTGCAGGTGCCTACCCTCGCTTGTCACTGAGCTTCAAGCTAAAGCGAAACATCGGATACTTCATCCTGCAGACGTACATGCCCTCCATCCTCATCACCATCCTGTCCTGGGTGTCCTTCTGGATCAATTATGACGCCTCCGCTGCCAGGGTGGCTTTAGGTATGATGTGACCCGAGCAGGAAATGTTAACATACATGGTGTTTGTTGGAGAGGAAAATAGACCGATTAAAATATACAGTAAGTAGAGAAAGGAATGCCAGGCAAAAGCACTCGCATACATTGAAGTTTTTATGCATTCTGTCATGTTGTAACTGCAAGCTGTATTTTATTGGAATTTTATTGCTGGCCCAACACAATATAAATCGTCACTGTAAAACTGAAAAATATACAGACAATATTCAATGGTTTTATAAATTATATGTGAAACCCATGTCATAATACATTCATCATTCATTTGCATTTGTTCCGAGGAGGATTAGGGTCACTGAAACACAACAAAACAAAAAAGTGTCTCCACATTCTGACTTTTTTCTCAGAAGATCAAAGGCAGAATTCAGAGATCAAAGTCAGAATTCAGAAAACCAAAGTCAGAATTCAGAGTAAAAAAACTTATAGTTCTGAAATTAAAGTCAGAATCCTGAGAAAAAAAAAGTCAAAATTCTTTCTTTTTTTTATTTAGTTGTTCGTTCCCATCAGCCTGTCTGAGGCTGCAACCTTGTCGTGTAATAAGATACTCATGTAGATCTACTGATCTACTGGCACTGGGAGTAATGGTGCTTTCAGATGGGAACATCCTTACAGGAAGAGTCTTTATATCAATCAGAAAGTTAGAAATTTACTGAAAGCTCAAAGTCGTCCAGTTACGGAGTGAAAATTCAAGCTCATCTGTTTCCATTTGAAGCAAAGTTCCAGAATCGGTGTCAGCTGTGCTTTCTGAAAACACAGTACTCCTTCTAACTCGATTGCCTTAATGGAAACCCTCATTCAGCTTCACTGCGCTCTAAGTGCTCCCCGTGTTAGGAAGAGCACATTATGGCAAGCGATCATTAAATCTCAGCTATGTGTACAAAGTGATGAGACGGTGTGGAGTATTTCAGGAGGTTCTGTGGACAGCTGGGTTTGGAAGCTCCTCCTCAGACTCGTAGCTCTGTAGGAAAGCAGACTCCTGCCGTTCGTCTCCTTCAGTGCCATCTCCTGAAGAAGGCCGTGCTCTGAGGCGGCGCAGGATCAATAAAAGTTAATCGCTGAGCCGTCTCAGTTCAGTCACAGTGTGGGTGATGATTCACAAATTCCTTCTTTTCTCCTGATGGTGGGAACTTCCTGGGTAGTTCTCTGGCGTCATATACATTACATCCACTCATCATCAGGATCATTATCATATTAGGTGTGGGCTTTTAATGATGTATTTGAAAATATCTTTTTCCCATGTTGGAATAATGAATATACAAGAACTACTTAAACTGAATCGGACGTACAAGTTTGAATTTCTTGTGGATTTCTTTTTCTCTGCTCCCCATGCATTCAAAATTGTACATATAATATTTATGTACATTATTACATGTAATA